TCTTAATCTCAGAAAGTTTATCTTCAAGTGAGGGTCTCCCTGGAAATGTTTTTATTTTGCCCTTATTTTTTCCTAATTTTATTGAGATATAATTGACATATAACACTGTATCAGTTTAATGTGTATGACATAATTTGATATATGTATATATTGAAAAGTGATTACCACAATAAGTTTAGTTGACCTCTGTCACTTCAGATTGTTAGAAATTGTTTTCCTTGTGCTGAGAACTACTCTCTTAGCAACTTCCATTATACAGTACAGTGTTATTAACTATAGTCACCATGTTGTACCTTACATCCCCAGGACTTATTTATCTTTATAACTAGAAGTTTATACCTTTTAACCATCTAAACACACACACACACACACACACGCACACACACACACACATACATACATATATCTGTGCCCTTATTTGGAAAATAACCTTACTAGATCTATTGTTATAGGTTGACATTTATTCTCAGCAAATTATGATATCATTCCAGTTTTCTGGCTGTTGTTATTGAAATTGAAAGTTCAGTTCCAAGTCTAATTATTATTTTGTAGTTAATCTTGTTTTTTCCTTTCTAGCTACTTTTAAAATTGTTTGCCTTTTGTATTCTACAATTTGACTACAGTATACCTTTTTGCCTTTATTTAGCATGAAATGTATTGGGCTTCTCAAATACAGGGATTGTATTTTTTCATCAATTCTTGAATATTCACTGCCAGTATCTCTCTCTGGATATGGTCTCTTTGCCATTTTCTCTATTACTGGTTTCTGGAACTTTCATAGATACTAATGTTCTCTTCTATGTCTCTTAACTTCTCCTTAATAAGTTGCCATATTTTTTTTCTTTTCATGTTGTGTTCTGTATAACTTATTCACATTATATTCCAGTTCACTAATTTTCTCCTTAGGTATGTATAATATGATACTAAATTTCAGTGGTTCCATCTTTAATGTCCAGAGGTTTTATTTGGTTCTTTTTTCTGATCAGCCAATACATTTTCAGTAGTCTGTTCTTACTGGAAAGTCCTTTCAAATACAGCTTTATATTCTTTAAACTTACTAAACTTATTTTGTATTCCATACCTAATAATTTCAATATCTGAAGTCTGCAGGTTTTGTTCTATGGTTTGTTGTTTCTGCTGGGTCTCACTCACGGTGGTTTATGTTCTTTTGTGTTTAGTAATTTTGTATTTTGAGTATAGATTTGTTGGAATGTGTCTGTGGAGATTCTTTAAGGACTGGGTTAGGGGTGTGTTTTTTCCAGGAGGGGGTGTGTGTGTATGTGTATGTGTGTGGGTGCGGCTCTGGGTTATTCTGTGATACACTGGAGAGAACTGCAGTCCTATGTAACTTTATTTTTTTAAGTTTATTTATTTTTGAGAGAGAGAGAGAGTGAGAGAGCACAGGAGGGCAGAGAGAGAGGGAGAGAGAATCCCAAGCAGGTTGCACACTGTCAGTGTAGAGCCCTATGCGGGGCTTGAACTCCTAAACCGTGAGATCATGACCTGACCTGAAATCAAGAGTCGGCCGCTTAACTGACTGAGCCACCCAGGTGCCCCAGTCCTATGTAACTTTAAATTACAATTCTTGGATTATAGTTTTTCAGGCCATAGTTGTCATAGTGGCCCAGATTATTTTTTATTTGTTTGCTTTTATTTTTCTATGTATGTTTTTGAGTATCACTAACAGTAAAGACAGTTTACTGTCTGATTCCATGGGCTGCTGCTTTGTTTTTGTTTTTCCAGTTTGCCTAATCTCTAAGTGTAACCTTTCTCAGATCCTAACTGTATATAGGTATTTGCCTATCTGCATGTGGACAACTTTAGGGAGCCATTATTCTGCTTACCACAATGGTATGTTCCCTTCTTGAAATCAGTCGTCTTTTTTACTAAATTGTTTTCTCTTCCTTCTGTCTTTCCTTTCTCCCTTCTTTTATTTATTTATTTATTTATTTCCTTCCGCCCTTCCTTCCATCCTTCCTTTTTTTCCTTCTGTCTTAGCCAATTCGTGTTGCTATAACAAAATACCTTAAACCGAGTGGCTTATAAAGAACAAACATTTCTCACAATTCTGGAAGCTGGGAAGTTTAAGATGATGTTGCTGACAGATTCAGTGTGGTAGCTGATGAGGGCCTACTTCATGGTTCATAAATAGCACTTTCTCACTGGATCCTCAAGTGGTGGCAGGAGGCTAATGAGCTCTCTCAGACCTCTTTTATAAGAGCACTAATCCCATTCATGAAGGCTCTGCCCTAGTGACCTAATCACCTCCCAGAGGCCCCACTTCCTCCTAATACTATCACCTTGGGAGTTAGTATTTCAACATAGGAATTTTCAGACCTTTGCTCCTTCCTTCCTTTTATCCTTTGTATCATTAATGTCATGGAATGCCTTCAGTAGGATGCTACTTTGGCTCATCCAAAAAGACAGAGGAAATTCTTGACCAAACTTCAAAGTTTAAGAGTTCTAATAACAGGCTCTAAATTAAGCAAAAAAAGATATCAGTCTTAAAAAGTATAGTACATGTGGGATATCATTTTGCCTTTGCCATTCATTTTTGAAGTTCTTCTGAACTGTCTATGTCTTCTGTTACCTCTTTTAATAATTTCTACACCTAACAACATTCTAGTAAGGAGGCCTAAAGCTCATATAGTAATCAGACACTGAGAAGACTTCAAGAAGTCTTTGCAAATTTTCCCACATTTACATATCAAAGCATCATGATATCTATTTAAGAACCCTCACAATGCTTAGTGAGTTATATTTGGGCATTTCCCCTCTCAGTCTTTTCTTAGTCTGCATTGCATATATTCTGGTTTTGTATTTGCTTTGCCTTTCTTGCTATTAAAATCATCTAGGCTGATTTTCATTGCTACTTTAAGCTTGTTTTAAATATTGTGTTATATTTTTCTGATATTAAAGTTTTCTACTAGTTTTGCATGTTCTGAAAATCTACCCTCGATTTCATCCCCCAAATTAATCCCTGAGTCATTATCAAAAATTAAATCCTGTCTCCTGAACAAACACACCTATGACTGTGCCAAGAAAATCACTGATGTATTAGCTTTTTCCCCCTCAGTACAAGGAATGACATATTAATATGAGGAATGACAATAATTGCTGTAAGAATATTGTCCCTTTCCCCAGAAACTCTATATAATCTAAAAGCCTATGGATAAAACAACATATATTGGCAGTTATAGCAATTCAGTTATATATTCTATCATAATTTAATCTTTGGAGCTAAATGTTGAGTGTGAAAGCTTTCTACAGGAGGGACCATTAAGCTGTTATGTTCTAAGTAAGATATTTTTATTGAAAAATATATTATCCTGATAGATAAATGTACATTCTTAAAATATTTTAAAATATGGGTAGCAAAAAGAGGAAAATAAAACGTATCCCAATCTCGTCATTCAGTATGTTTGAATACATTTACATCTTTTCTATGCTCAGAAAATGTAGAGATCCACATCAGTATAGTCTATCAAACTAATTGTATCCCTTAATATGTTATGAACATCCTTCTGATGTCATCAGTGTTGGAGTGTGTGCATGTGTGTGTGCACGTGCGTGAGCGGCGATGGTGACCAGTGTTGGAAGGAGAGAGGCATGGCTTCACAAAGTGAATCATTCCTGTTACCCTCCAAATAACAGGGTAGTAAGCCTTATTTTCTAGTTTGATAGGTTTAACAATCCCTTTCTTTACCATAACCTTCTCAGTCACAATAAAAAAAATGTATCCATGTTGAAAATATTAAGATAATCTTTGCAGAGTACCTAACCTAGCTAACATTTACTGAGGTTCTACCATACTTATATAAAGACATGGACTTTGTTCTAAATTCAGCTGATTTTACTCACTTGGCTTATAATTGCTCAGTTACATTTTATTTTGTTACTAGAGGGGGTGATGAGCAGATCCTCTGGTACATTGCTGCATTTACACTGATGGTAATAAGTACCTCTATGTTTATATAAGTGATTTCTGCTAAATTATACATTATTATTAACATCTAAGATTCTATTAAAATATGAGCAGTAAGCAGTGTTTTTTTTTCTAGTTAATAATAATGAAGTAAAGTTTAGTGTGTTGAAATAATTCCCAAATGCATTATGATTTTATTAGTGGCACCAGACTTTTAAAAATTAACACACACACAAATAAAAATCATCAGCCGCTCCTAAGTACACCAAGCAGCATTTTCTTCTCACAATAACCAGAATACCAAGCCTGAGCACCTGTGAAATCTTCCCTGAGAAACCGTGCCAGAAACTGCGTGTAATTATGTTTGTTTACAGAGACCCACGTTAAGCTTGTAGTTCTGCATTTTCATATGAAGATTAGACTGCATTTCTTACTGTTGGTATCCATCGCCTTCTTCAGTCTAGCCAGTACTGAGATAGAAGATTAGGAAGTCCCTCATCTATTCACAATAGACACAGCTACCAAATCCCTGAGTAACTTTAGGTGGCTTAACGTAAACTGGCATATTTATTTTGTATATGTTTTAGATTAGTTTCAGCTTTGTTCCTCTAAATATGAATGTGGTCATTTTGACTCTTTGATGCACTGACACAATGTACACTAGCCAACAATAACTGATTTTTAAATTAAGTATCATTTTTATAGGTCGCTACAAAATTACCAAAATATTCTCCAAATGAATTCACATAAGGTGTGAATAAAATGCTTATTTCACACTTTCTTAGAAGTTACGCATGTTTCAGTAGGCAGCATGGGGGAGGGCCGAGGAATGCGATTCTTTTTGACAAAGCCACATTGTACGTGGAAATAGTGGTTATATACCATTACACCTTTGAAAAAATACCCCGGGTTTACCAGCAATGTAATATAATACTGTTGTGCGCAGCAGAAAACAAAACAGGTAAGTTAATGTGTTTTCTTTTCAAGGTTGGCTAGAAGAGACTTAAAGTGTATAAATTATCATTCTTTGTGACTGTTCTTTAGATTTCAGATGTACTTCTTAAAACTTCTACAGGTACTTAAGACAGATGCTGAGGAACTGGTCTCCAGAAGCTATTGGGATACACTGAGACGTAATACAAGCCAAGCACTCTTTTCAGACCTCGCAGAGGTACAATTAAACCTCAAGCAGGACGTTGTACTATTTGCCGTTTTGTAAATCTGGTCTTCATTTCATTTCAGAGTTACAATGATGAAACCAGCAATAATTTTATATTTTCCCTTTTCTCCAGTAAAGCAATAATTCCCGTGTCCGAACGGTATGTTCGAATATGTCCTCTGTGCTGGCAGTGGCTGCAAAGCCACCTATAGTGGTCTATATTAAATCAACTTGTGACTTTCCAACTTAATTAAAAAGAAATATTGCTATTTTTAACTTAAGGCTCACTTTCAGGAAATTTGAAAGTACTATTTTATTGTTTCACTGAATCTTTTAACCTTATAATTTGCAATGTTACATGAAGGCTGAAACTTTTAACTTGGTAAAAGATAGCTAATGCTTTAGCGTATGGTAGATTTCAATATTAAATTTCCTAATATTAGCGTGTAGCTTACCAAGGGGGATAGGGGAGGTATGCTAGGAGAAGTCAGTCAAGGAAGGGAGGGATATTTTAACTTGACACTGTTTAGGATTGCCAGTGCATGGAAAATTAAAAAGCGGACTGACGATTACTCATTATTGTTCTTGAATTCCCTAGTGACATGCACCTTATTGCTGCACTCAGGTGGGGTGCTCCCACCACCGACTCATTATGCTGCTGTTATTAGGGATTTTTCATTTGTTTTGTTTTGTTAGCGATTTGTCATTTTTAAAGATGGGCTATGTCTTTTACATTAAACACTATTTTATATTTTCTATTAATTTTTAAGAACTTTATTAGAAATGGCTGTCAGTCTTACCACAAAGAACTTTTCAGTAAATACTGAGATACATTTTTCATTATTTTTCTCTTTAAAGTTAGCTTCTCATTTCTTTTTCTAACTTTGACTTTTTTTTTTTTACATTTTTTTAATGTTTATTTATTAGAGAGAGAGAGAGCGCGAGACAGAGTGTGAGTTGGGGAGGGACAGAGAGGGAGGGAGACACAGAATCTGAAGCAGGTTCCACACTCTGAGTTGTCAGCACAGAGCCCAACGTGGGGCTTGAACTCACGAACTGCGAGATCATGACCTGAGCCAAAGTCGGACGCCCAACCGACTGAGCCACTCAGGCAGCCCTAAACTTTGACTTAAAAATTACACCTAAAAATCTGAAGACGTGAACAGGAATCCAGGTGTGACTTCTGTTACCCATATACAGTGTTACCCTGTTGGCACCCCTAGGCTAGGCAAACACTTGGCAATGTTAGTTTTGTCAATTGTGCTCAATTTTACAATACAAAAACATAAATAAAGCATTTTTCCCTTTCTCCAGTTTACCTCTGATATGTAAATATGATGTAATTATGACCAGTAATTAACCCTTTAAAATTACCTTTTAATTTGAACCATTTTTAAGGCATAAAGTGGTCATTGATGTTCCATTTACAGGTATGTTAGAAGTACTTACTTCTGTAATCATTTGTGCAGGCACGTGGTAGTAAATGCCTGAAATAAGAGCAACTGGGGACATGAGCCCTGGAGTCCTACAGCCCAACTGGGACCTAGCTTCAAACTAACAGTCGTGTCCCTGCTCTCTTTCCATCGGAGACTGTCCATCTCTCAGCCTCCAGCCTGTCTTTAATCTAAGAAATTCCCACAGTTGGACACAATCTGCTAATTCGATGTTGAATTTAATCCAGATCTGGGGAGGTTTAATATCAGAAGACCAGTCAGCTCTTACATATACTCAAAGATTATATGTATGCATAAGACCTTTTGAAGATGTTTTTCACTCGTCAGAGGTGTGCTGGAGCTAGATTTTATGGCTTCCTAGAGCTAATTCTGCACATCTCTTCCCAATTCAACATTCCATGACATCCTGTTGGTCCTTGAAAGTGGCCATGATAGAGGAATTAATACCATAGAAATTGGCCAACACTACAAATCGGGGTTGTTGGGTTTTTTTTTTTCCTAAAGAGCTTGTGTACAAGCACACTATTGGCTATGATCAACCTACACTTCACTCATAAGATGCTAGATTACTTAATGAATTGATTCAAACATCATGAAAGTAGATCAGATAGAAGAAAGAAGAAAATAAAACTTATATTGTCTTCTAAAGTAAAATAATTATTTGGGGATTATCTCTGTTACTACCGTCCCACATGAGAGAGGATAATTGAGAATTAACTGTAGTTAAGTTACAGCTCATCGTAATTCCTTATCGGTTCCTACTGATGCCAGTGTACATCGAATTGTTTATAGTATCAGTATTTCAGAATTCACATTAGTTTGAAAGAAAGCTTAGAAATCTGTTTGATACGCCACCCTTGGATAGAGTTTGATAAGATTATTATACCACTGTAATCAATAAAAATACGTTGAAAGATATTTTAAAAATTTGTAATATTTGACATTTTTAATTCCATGCATATGTATTATTTTATTTTTGATGAAATCTTTTAAAGTAATTTTTAAGCCCCAAAAGATAAGGGTCTTTCATAAATGGCCATAGGGTTCTTTTGTGGCTTTTTCTTGCTTTGTTATGAAAACACCTGAATTCATTTTATTTTAACAATGAGCACAAGAATCAAAGGGATAAAGTCTCTATTTTGTCGCAACTCCCCTGTGATTTAAGTTGCATAACACTGCCAGGATACTAAGGGCACTGGTATAGTTTTCAATGACTCCCAACAGTGCTCTGTTTCATTGAGTGGGGGGAGAAAAGTTTTCACCATTTCCATTTTCTAATTTTTTTTCTCTAATGTCAAACTGTTACTTATGCCTCTGTGGGTCTGGATTATCTGGATAAGTGCAACCTAAGTCTAATAAGATTTTGATGATGAAAGACTGTAAACGAAGATCTGCTCTGTTCAGTGGGCATGAGAAAAGCTGGAAGAATGAGGTCATTATTTAAAACCTGTGTAAAACAAAGCCATCTCATTTCACTGTGTCAGGTCTTGAGGTAGAGGACATCACAGCACTAAAGGAAAACATTTCATGAGGGTGTTATCAGAGTTCACTAACTTTTGGTGTTCTCATTTGAAGGCTTTTTTTTCAGGTCTATATAACATATATGGGCAGTTTCCGTTAACAAAAGAAGTAAGAGTGCACCATGTAAAACTTTTTTTGCATTAAGCTTCAACATTATCATCTTTTCTGTCTCGTCTAGTCCTTTTTCAACTTCTTGAAATATATTGATTTGGCAAAAATAAACAATAGCCAACATTTGTTGAGCATTTACAGTATGCCAGTTATAGTGCTAAATGATTTACATGTGTTACCTGAGCCTCACAACACTTCAAGGTAGGTACTGTTATTATTCCTGAGGGTAATAATGTCCTCAGAGAGGTTAACTTCCCAAGGTCACCTAACTAAGCGGTTAAAATTCAGGATCCGAAGCCAGAAATCTGACACTTGAGCTCACCATCTTATGTGCTCACCACACCACTGCTTATTTGTGAAGTAAGCAGCTTTTTCTAGAACACCATGGCCCCTCTTTTTACCCACTTTATACCTCCCCCACATTCCCTTCCTCAAGCTTCTAGTTGGATACCCCCCCCCCCCCCGTTCTTCATGCTGACTTCTGATTGGATAGAGCTTCCACTTGATGCTCCATTTAGTCATGCCTTCTCAAATATTTCCTCCCCCTGCTTCCTTAAGCTGTTCCATGCATAATGATGGATTAGACTTGGACTTGATGATACACAATCACAAAAGAATGTTTATAATTAACATGAGAAATCTCTTTTTTCCCAAAGGTCTTAATGCTTTACACCAGAGCAGCTTATGACTGCCAATAATAACACTTGTATACTTGACTTACATTCATATCCTAATTTTATCCTCACATTCATTGTCATAGGTAGGTTTGTGCCTCTTGTATCAATAAGGAAGCTAAAGGTCAAAAGATCCATAAACTCAGATCTTCTGATTTTAAATCCTGTCCTTACGGCAGTCTGCCTCCTCCACCTAAAGCCACTGGTGGAAGTAATAGTGCCTTTTGAGCGCTACTGAAAGTTATACTTGTCTGCTATCAGTAGGGAGTTCTGGAAGGCTGGCACCACTCATATTCCTCAACATCCATCATCTGCTTGTTCAATAAGGTATATTTAAAAGATAGTATGGGACACCTGGCTTCCAGGCTGTGGTGTTTTCTCCCTGGCGATCAGATCTTCAAAGAAGTTGGATATATTACAGGAAACTTCTAAGTTATTCCAACTCCTGAAAATCCTGGGAGTTGTCAGCAAACTGAGAAGCAGTAGAGATCTTTCAAACCAGTTAAAGGAGGTTATATGCTAGGGATTACCTAGGAAAATCCAAGCTAAATAAATATAAATAAGACCTATAGTCTTACTAAAGAATTTCACCAATCTGAGATCATTTAAAGTGGTAGATACCTTACCTGTTGGAGTTTTTAAGAAAGGCCTGAGTAATCACCGTAGCAGAGACCACTTTAGAAAAACAGGGATTAAAAGAAGGCGTGTGGGAGGGAAAAGACAAATCACGAGATGTAGTCTCTATAACATTGAACTAGTCATTAGTAGTTAATAATAGTTGGTCTAGGGAGAAGGGAAATAAAGATCCAACAAATATTATGAAGGATAAAATTGCTGTCTTCATGAAAGATTGGGAAGAGAACTATGAAGAATCAAAGGATTACCAAAAGTTAATGTGTGGAAGATGGGTAAGATGAGACATTTTGTCAGGGAACACAGATCACAACTTACTCCTTTGTAGAGAAGTATATGCTATTTCTTCTGTTTTCTATAAAATGCCAACAGAATTCTCACCAAGAAGTAATATTTCAGATATGTACTTTTAGATGGATATTTATGACTGTGTTTTTTTTTAATACAGAAAATAGTAGTTCTTATTTGACCTCTTATTTTTCTTACATTCTCCAAGATAATATGTGGGAGAGTTACGGTCATTTGAATTTTAATTTTTATACCTGAGTTTATAAGATAGGTATGAGTTATTGGCCAAGTGAGGAAGGAAGGAGAGAAGAGAAGGAAGAGAAAAGAATCAAAGGGGAGAGAGGGGGAAAAAAAGGAAAATTGATATCGCTACATTAAAGGAAAGGACTGTTTTCATAGGCCAGTAAACTTTATAAGGACTAGAATTATGTGATTTTAAGAACACGCTTGTTGGAAATTGCAGGAAAAAATCCTCTGGAATTAATTTCTTATCCATTCAAAAAATAATGTAAGACTTTTAAACAAAATTATAGATGGTGTAATTTCCAAAGTAATAGTTTCAAAATATAGTATCTTCAATTTAAAGTATCATAAATGTGGAATACAAAAGGAAAATGTGATGCTTAAAGGAATCTATTTTGTGAAGCTTCTGACAGTTCTTTTGTCAGCCCCATGTTCCGTACATCTGAAGAATTTACCTCCTTTGACATCCTTAAAAAACATTGATTTTTTGGGTTGATTAGGAAAATCCAAACTAAATGACTTATATAGTGAGAAAACATTTAGGTGATTAGTAAAGGATTTCAGCTATCTTAGATAATTTAAAATATAGATAACCTATATGTATACTTTGAGTTTGAAAACTCCTTAAAATATAATCCTAATCTTTAAAATTTTTTGAGGATAAAGATCAATTTCAGTCATATTTCTGTTTTCAAATATTGAACTTCATTTTGCCTATAATGGCATTTATTAATGCACCCTTATGCTTTTCATTCTAATGTTAATGTTTGTATGTTCTTGGTATGTATATGGTGATAAAATTCTTTGAGGGATGTTGGGTATCCCTACTCTGTTTATTGCAGCTAACCTTTAAATTGTGATTTTTTTTAAGCGTGCTGATGACATTACAAGTTTGGTAACAGATACTACACTTCTTGTGCACTTTTTTGGAAAGAAAGGAAAAGCCGAGCTCAACTTTGAAGATTTTTATAGGTGAGCTTACCTTTATATTTGTATTGAAAAATGTTAACATGCTGAAGCCAGAAAGGTCTCTAGGAACGATCTGGTGCAGAAATACTCACCTCTTGGCTGCTTTCATCTTAACTGAATATATCTCTATAACAAATACGCACTTCCATCAGTACCAGCATACTAGTGGTTATCTTGGTAAGTGTAATAGGAAGTGGCTGAATGATAAGAAATGCCTGGATATCTGGATTGATTATGTCCTGTATATTCCTGCGAAGGTATCTCCCCAACTCCTTAGTCTCAGTGAACCACATTAGTAAACCTGGATATAGTGTCAATGTAGTAATCGCCTGGCACTGCACAGTAACTCTCGAAAGTCTCATTGCTCCCCTGCAAGGTCTTTGTGTTATCCCCATTTCACAGATGGGGAAGCCAAAGCCCCCACCATCACTCTTCATTTATCGTATTCATTCTTTATATATTTTGTCATAGATTCATGGATAACCTACAAACAGAAGTTCTAGAAATAGAATTCCTTTCCTACTCTAATGGGATGAACACTATCAGTGAAGAAGATTTTGCTCATATTCTTTTACGATATACAAATGTGGAAAATACATCAGTATTTCTGGAAAATGTGCGTTACAGTATACCTGAAGAAAAGGTATCTAATCACCCATATCTATTTTGTTACATATGATACTATCTTGTAATTATATAGGTCTATAAAGTATATTGTCCTTTTCTTAATTCTTTTTCTCTGCTATGGATTAATAGATGTTTCGGATATATTTCATTCTTTTTTCCTCAGTGCCCTAAGTGCTCTGGCTAATTTTCAAAATTTGATTAATGTAAAATTCTGGGTCAATATCCATGTCTTTCTTAGAAATGCTGAAAACCTTTAAGATTATTAGCAGTTGTGTAAGTCAAATTATGAATATCATTTTTGAAGAGAATTCTACTGAGCTATATGCTTTGACTACCACATCAACATCACCTCATATAAAACAGTTTATATCGACATCATTTCAGTAACACTTAATTCCATAATATCCTTTAAAAAAGGTCATTTGAAGACAGCCTTTGATGAGTGAGGGATCTTATCAGGAAGTGAAGTGAGGTTTTCAAAGAGTATGGATGGCACGAATGGTTAAGAACCTGGGACAACTGATTGTCTATTTGTTTAGCAGCAAATGTGTTGTCAGCAATTCTGAGCAGTCGCATTATCTAGTGGTATTTGAATGCATCATTGCAACCAAATGGAACTGGTGTTACAAGTACCCCTTCAAGCATGAGATGTTTTGGATATATTGCCTTCTATTTGTGTTTATAGAAGGATCAAGTTAATCTATCCAAGAAAAACTTGCAAATAGTTTGACTTTGTTTAAAGTGGCTACACTGTGACAGTGCTAACAATTCTCCAGGTCTCCTATGGAATGAGAAAAAAAGGCTTGATGCATTTGGCCATTAGTTTACATAATCTCTTAGAGGACTTTTATCTGTTTTGTATGATAAACTGAATTTTTTCCAGTTGATACCCAGATCCCTAAAAATAAATATCGGAAATTGTACTACTTTGTCAAGCTGCTAGAATATTTAGAGCTTTAATGAATCTGCTTTTCTTTGTCTTTTACCAAATGGAAACAGCAATCTGTAACTCAAAAAGTTCAGTTCCAGGGTAAAGAGTGTATGGGAATTCTTATACTGTTTTTGCAACTTATACATCAAAAAATTATCTGAAAATAAAAAGTTTTCCTTTAGGCTAAATTCAGTTTCTGAAAACTTAAAATTGATAGAAGTATCTTAGTTTTACAAATCATTACAGTTAAAAAAAAAAAAAGAAAGAAAATTTGGCAAATGAACCAGCATCAATTCTCCTGATGTTTGTTTGGTTTGATATTACGTCATCAATCCTTAGAACAGACTTCCAGATATTGACATTTTTTCTTTTAGAAAAAGTGAAGCCGAGTCTTCTCAGATACTTAGACACTTGTTCAGGGAATCAAACCCAAGAGTGTAAGCCAATGATACTCCTCCCACACCCTACTTATATCTTTCCCTTCCTCTCATTTCTCATCCATTTCCTTCCAAAAGAATAACAGGTACTGCTACTTGGATAGCACTTGACATTTCTAAAATACTTTAATTTTCATCCATGTATCTAGCAGATATTGGGCATCAACCATTTATGAGACCTTATTCTAGCTACTGTAGATAAAGTTGACAAGATCAGCAAAATCCTTCTCATGGAAATACCTCTTAGTGGAGAGACACAATAAACAAGTAGACAAAAAATAAATAAATGATTTATTTCCAGAGAATGATAGATGTTAAACAAAAGTCATGAGGACTGGAAAAGGAGATGGACTGTTGGGGAAAGGTTTTTTTGAAGAGGTAGCTTTTGAGGAAAGACTGTGAGGAATGACCTATGCAAAGAGGCAGAGGAAACAGCAAATCCCAAAGGTGTGGGCACCGAAAAAGCTGAGTTTATTTGAGAAATTGCAAAATAGGGTAAAGTAAGGGCATAGGAAAAGTAGTAGGAGATGGAGAGACTGAGATGGGTTAGGTCTTCGAGGAATTTAGATTTTATTCTAATGGTGATTGTAAGAGTGATGGGACACTACTACGTTATTAAAATTTGAAACAGGAGTCAGCAAACTACCTACCTCCTCTGTTTTCAGAAATAATATTTTACTGGAACATAGCCACACTCATTCTTTGAGTGTATCGTCTGTGAATGCTTTTGCGCCCTAATAGTAGAGTTGAGTAGTTGCAGCAAAGACTATATTCCTAAACAAATAAAAATACTTCCCCTCTGGTCTACTCTAGGAAAAGTTTGGTAGCCTTGCTTTAGAACATAGGCCTGTGTGCATTCATCCGTCAGGTATTTATTCAGCATGCATTCACTGTCTGCTGTGACACCTAAATATGGTGTGACTCATGGGCCACATATGATCTGATTCCTCCTTCAAAAGATCATCATGGCTGGTATATTCAGAGTACACTTCAGCTGGCCCAGCTTTGAAAGGAAGAGGCAAGTTAGGATATTGTTATAGGAGTGCAGGTAAGAGATGAGCATGGCATGGACCAGGGTGAATGTAGGGAAAGGTGGTGAGAAATTGGATCATTTAAAGAGGAGAGCTGATAGAACTCGCTGCTGGATTAGATTTCAATGTGAAGGAAAAAGAAGAATCAAGAATTCCTAGGGTTTGGGCCTGAAACACATTGTGAAACAGCGGTACCATTTACTGAGCTAAGCAAGACTTCAAGTTTGGGGTTTTAGGAAAGAATTAATGGTTTCATTTTGGACAATTTAAGTTTGAGATTCCTATGAGATATCTCAATGAAGAAGTTATGTATGCAGTTGGATATGTGACTCTAGCATTTAGGGGTGTAGTCATTAGTGTATAGACCTCCAAATTATGTCATTCCTCTCCAGCCTTTAGTAATCATTGTCAATTTCCTGTCTCAGTGGATTTACTTATTGTGACTATTTCATATAAATAGAATCATGCAATATGTGACCTTACATGGTTGGCTTCTTTCATCATATTTTTGAGGTTCACGCATGTAGTAACTTGTATCAGTACTCCATTCCTTGTTATGGCTGAATTATGCTCCATTGTATGTATACTGTTTGTTTATCCATTCATTTGTCCATAGACATTTATATATATATATAATATATATATATATATATATATGTGTGTGTGTGTGTGTGTGTGTATATATATATATGTATATATATATATATGTGTGTATATATATATGTATATATATATATAAATTTTTAGTTATAGCCATCCCAGCGAGTATGAAGCAGTATCTATGTAATTACCATTACCTTCACCCTAAATAGAATTCTTTATTTCTTCATATAGCTTTGAGTTAGATTCTGGTTTCCTTTCTTTTCAGCCTCAGTGACTCCCTTTTGCATTTCTTGTAGGATAGATCTGCTAGTAACGAACCCCCTTGAGTTTTATCTGAGAATGTCTTACTTTCTTCATTTTTCAAGGATAGTTTTGCCACATGTTGTTTACCTGAGAACATCTTAATCATTTCTGAAGGATAGCTCTGCCACATACAGAATTCTGCCACATACAGAATGGTTGGATGTTTTTCTTTTAACACTTGAACTGTCCTACTTACCTTTGGCCTCATGGTTTCTGATGAGAAATCAGCTGTTAGTCTTATTGAGGATCCCTTCTCTATGAAGAATCACTTCTCTCCTGCTGCTTTCAAGATGGCCTTTGTCTTTTGACAGTTTGAGTATGTGTCTTGGTATGGATCTTTTCAGTTCTTCCTGCTTCAAGTTCATAAACTTCTTGAACGTGTAGACTTAGGTCTTACATCAAATTTTTGAGGTTTTCAATCATTATTTGTAAAACTGTTCTTTCTGCTGTCTTCTCCCCTTTTATTTCTGGAAGTCCCATAATTTGGGTATTGGTACACTTGATAGTGTCCCCAGGTTCCTTAGGTTCTGTTAATTTTCCTCATTTTTTTTTCTTTAACTATTCTATCTTCAAGTTTGCAGATTCTCTATTTTGCGTATTTAAATCTATTGCTGAATACCTACTCAACTTTGTGTTTTCAGTTATAGTACTTTTCAGCTCCAGAATTTTTATTTGGTTCCTTTTTACAATTTCTATCTTGATATTCTCAATTTGTTCATAGGTAGTTTTCCTGATTTCCTTTAGTTCTTTATCCGTAGTTTCCTTTAGCTCTTTTGAGTGTATTTTAGTTGATTCAGAGTCTTTGTCTACTTAGTCCAATGATTGGACTTCTTCAGGGGTGGTTTCTGTTGATGTATTTTCCTGATGAATAGGCCATATTTTCCTAATTCTTTGTGTGCATTGTAATTTTTTGCTAAAACCTAACCATTTTGAATATTATACTGTGTTAACTCTGAAAAACCAAACTCTCCCCTACAGCTGTATACGCAAAATAGCTTGGCGAAGTCACTAAATAAATGGGGGAAAGTGCATTTCTTGTCATGTATAGTCACTGAAGACTGTTCTGTTATCTAAGTGATTAGCCAGAGAACTGACAGAGATCCTTACATCCCAGAGCCAGGAAGAAAAACCTAGAGTGTTCTCTTTGCAACTTAGCTCTGAGCTGGAGCATTCCTCCTGCACTGACCCAGGCTACCGAAGCCTCTTCCTTTGCCTTCATCTCCTGCCTCCACAAAGCCCACAGATCTGCAAGAGGTGGTAACTTAACATCCATAGGTATCTTCAAAGCATGTGGCAGTTCCTGGTTACGTTTAATTTCCCAGGTATCTACAGTGTCCCTGTTAGCCCCTATTCTAATACCATTCTCCTCAGCCTTCCCTTTGTCAAGTTTTTGGATTCTGTCTGCCACCTGTCCCATCTGTCACCCCTTGTGTCAGGCAGGCACAGAGTGTGCATGTCTTTAAATCTTTTGATAGATGTCACTGTCCCCAGGAAAGCCCAGGAGGGAGGGGCAAAACAAAAGTCAGCCTCTTCACTAGTCCCTCAGAGAACCACCATACAGGTCAAATCACATGTGGTAACATTTTAATAACAACATTTTAATTACCAATACATTTTATATTAAATAACACAACATTTAATAATCACATACCATAGTAGCCCTCTGGCACCAGGAAGCCATGCCGGGAACATCAGCACTATCCCACAGCACCGAAAGATAAAAATGGTAGTTCAGTGGACAGAAACACCACAGTGCTCTCTCCCTGAATTCCAGCTACCCTTCTCTTCATTAACCAGTCCCCTCCTTGCTATAAACTATGGATTAGATTCCAGAGTTTGAAAAAAGTTAATCCTGACAGTCTTTCCCAACTAATGGCTGGAGGGACCAATTTTTTAAGCACCCTACCCTGCCATTTTCCATGGCATGACTCCCCCCAGTCTCGTCCTAGTCTTCTAATAATTATTTCACGCTTATGTACCTCAACCAAAGATAAACAGGTGCACACACTGGGAGCTCCATCATGGCTGCACATAGAGCATGGTATCTGCCAGTACAACCAGTGTAATCACACTGCAGCTTGAGATCTACAGCATTTTCTAGTTTGTCTCTTGATTGAATTATGTCTTATCAATTCTCTCGGTTTTGTTCACTGAGGCCTTGCCACAGTTCCATCCAAATGGACTTACACATGCTTGTTCACATCCTGAATGACACATTTCAATAGTATATGTAAATTTTTATTATAAAAGACACATAACATAAAATTTACCATTTCTCCCTTTTAACTATTTTAAAGAGTAAAATTTGGAGACATTCTGTTCACAATGTTATACAATCATCATTAGTACTAGTTCCAGAACTTTTTCATCATCTTAAACAGAAACCCCATAACCCATTAAGCAGTCACTCCTCAGTTCACCTCGCCCTAGCCCAGGGCAACCACTAATCTGCTTTGTTTCTATGAATTTATCTATAATGGATATTCATAAAAGTGCAGTCATATAATTTGTAATCCATTATGTCTGCTTCTTTAACTTAGCATAACTTTTTCAAAGTTCATCCATATTTTAGCAAATAATGGCGCTTCATTCCTTTTTATTGCCAAATACTACTCTATTATATAGATATATCACATTTCCTCTGTTTGTCAGTTGGTGAATTGTTTCTGAGTTGTTTCCAGTTTGACTATTCAAATAATGCTGTTATGAATATTCGTATACAATTTTTTCATGTGGACATGTGTTTTGAACTGTCAGAGAATTAGATACATACTTCAGGGTAAATAGCTGGGTCACATGGCATCCTTAATTTTTAACATTTTAAGGAACTACCAAACTGTTTTCCACAGTAGCCACAGCATCTTATAATCTCATTAATAATGTCTGAAGTTTCTAATGTTTCTACATTTTTCTCCACAGTAACACTTGTTATTGCTTGCCTTTTTAATTTTAGCTATCCTAGTGGATGTGCAGTGGTATCATTGTGTTTCAATATGCATTTCCCCAGTGAATAATGATGTTGAGCATCTTTTCCTGTGTTTGTTGGCCATTTGTCTATCTTCTTTGGAAAAATATCTATTCAAGTCTTTTGCCTATTTTTTAATCGTGTTGTCTTTATGTTACTGATTTTTTTTTACTTTTATTTTTTATTTTCTTCATTTTTTAAATTTACATCCAAATTAGTTAGCATCTCGTGCAACAATGATTTCAGGAGTAGATCCCTTAATGGCCCTTACCCATTTAGCCCATTCCCTCTCCCACACCCCCTCCAGTAATCCTCAGTTTGTTCTCCATATTTATGAATCTCTTCTGTTTTGTCCCCCTCCCTGTTTTTATATTATTTTTGTTTCCCTTCCCTTGTGTTCATCTGTTTTGTCACTTAAAGTCCTCATATGAGTGAAGTCATTTGATATTTGTCTTTCTCTGACTGACTAATTTCACTTAGCATAATACCCTCCAGTTCCATCCACGTAGTTGCAAATGGCAAGATTTCATTCTATATGATTGCCGAGTAATACTCCATTGTGTATATATACCACATCTTCTTTGTCCATTCATCCATCAGTAGACATTTGGGCTCTTTCCATACGTTAGCTATTGTTGATAGTGCTGCTATAAACATGAGGGTACATGTGTCCCTTTGAAACAGCACACCTGTATCCCTTGGATAAATACCTGGTAGTGTAATTTCTGGGTCATAGGGTAGTCTATTTTTAGTTTTTTGAGGAACCTCCATACTGTTTTCCAGAGTGGCTGCACCAGCTTGCATTCCCATTTATGTTATTGATTTTTAAGAGTTCTTTATATGTTCTGGATACTAGAATCCTGTCAGATACGTGATTTGACAGTTTTTTCTCCCATTTTGTGTGTTGTCTTTTTACTTTCCTTGATAGTATCCTTTAAAATGCACAAAAAATGTTTACTTTTGACAACGTCTCATTTGTCTGTTTTCCTTTTGTTGCTCATACTTTGGGTGTCATATTAAGAAACTATTACCAGGAAGAAAATACAACAGCTCTTCCTCTTTGAAAATAAAGAATATATTGATGTAAAAAAAAAAAAAAAAAAAAAAAAAAAAAACAAAAACAAGAGGAAGAAACCATTGTCAGTTCCAAAGTTATGAAGTTTTTGTTTCTGTTTTTTTGTAAGATTTTTATAATTTTAGCTATTAAATTTAGGTCTTTGACCCATTTTGAGTTCACTTTTGTCTATAAAGTGAAATAAGAGTTCAACTTCTTTCCTTTAGTGTAAATAAACAATTGTCCCAGCCCCATTTGTTAAAAAGATGTTAAAAAGAAAGAGGTTCTTTCTACAATAAATGGCCTTGGCACTCATATTGAAAATCATTCTATCGTAGGTATTTGGGTTTATTTCTTGATTCTCAGCTCATGTCCTTTTGATGCTTTAAATTTTTCCGTTATTATCATCATGTTATTTTTGCTACAATGTAAGATACTTCTTTTCATTCCACTTCTCACAGTTAGGACGTTTTCCTTTCAAGTCCAAATGGTTCATTATAAAGTGATTCTGGTGGTGAGAGGAAGAAGAAATGACTCTACCTCCTGACACTATCATTCCCTCACTGCTGTTAAAAATGGAGTGCTTTAAATTATCAGAATGAATTCCCTGTTCTTCAAGTTTATGATTCTCTATTTCCAAACACAAAGAATTTAATCTACACAGAAGAATAATTATATGGTGTTGAATCTGACCTATCTTTCTGAAACATGACATCACTCTTCTGAAAAATGTAAAGATTCAGATGGTGAACATTGTATTCTGTCATACCTCGATTTGCTTTTTAATCTTATGCTCCCTAAAAGAATTGACATTTTTGTTTACACTTTGCTTAAAAATTGCTGTGGCAGCTGGCCACAGCATAAACTGATATAGAACCAGAACAGTGACCGGTTTCCCTGGCAACAAGCTCTCCACATCAAGACAAACCCCTTCTGGCTCACTCCCCCTAATTGATTCAAACAGCCCTTCCTGGAAAACATGGCAATTGGGATCAGGTCACAAAACAAAATCCAGGGTTGGAGTGGCCATAAATGAATATAAGGAAAGAGGAAGAGAAAATAGTGAAGAGAAAAGAATAGTGAGAATTCTCCTTGCAGGTAAAAAGCATTGCAGGTGAAGTGGAAATAATGTATACCAAAAATTGGTATTATTATTTTGATAATAAAATAGATAATGAATATGATTCTGATAATCATTTAATCAGTAATTGGCTTATATGAACGTAGACTTTTCTGGTTCTTTCCCTGCCTTTCCAATGCTGCCTTGTTAGTTTCCCTTTCCCTTTTCACGTATGTTAAGGTGAGAAATTGTTAAGCCTAAGTTCTTAGCCCTATGCCCTTTTTCTGTTTATTTTGTCAATTATATTAGTTTTGCTGAGAACATAATAATTTAAATGTAGCTCTTCATGGCCAGATGTACATTGTCTGAGATACATGGTGCGTTGAGCTGGTAGCAGTGGTAGTCTTTGCAGTTTATGGAAATGACGTTCCGGAGTCCTCTCCGTGGGCCCAGAACTGTAAGTGTGCACTCACGGGGCCTCCTCGTGCTGTCCTGGCAGAGTTATCGTGGCAGAAACAAGTGAAAGTACCCTGCCTCTGGCCTGTTCAACATTTTGATTTTCGCATTGTCATTGTTACAGACGTTAATGGCCAAATGCTGAGTTATATTTAAGGAATATGTGTACAGGAGAAACTGGTGTTTTAGGGGTGGTTTTCCTCTCGTGTTTTTCTTCTTAATCATCATACTTACTCTTAGGGTTTAAAAAACTTAGGCCTAAAATACAGTTTTCCAAAATTGAAGCTTGTTGGGTTTTTTTTCCTCTGTTTATTCAGCTTTTTACTTGTTAGGACAGAGTGGCTGCTTCCAAGTTTCTTTCATGCTAGACTAGAAACCAGAGTCCTAGGACACTTCTGTCACCTGAAAAAAGTTCAGTGTTGCGTTGTGCCCATTCCCTGTCCACCTGCCCTTCCACAGCCCCTCAGCAGCCACTGATCTACTTGCCGTCACTTTACATAACTCTCGTCTGTTCTAGAATTTCGTATATTGAAATTGTATCGCATGTGGGGTCTCGTGTCTGGCTTCTTTCACTTGAGCTTCATCCGTGTTGCCAAGCCATAGCTGGGCCCTTTGGTACTGTTAGACCACTACTTGTGTATGCATTCACCTGTCATCTGGGGTATTTCCAGCTTTAGGACATTATGAATAAGGCTGCTGTGAATATTTGTGTGTAACTCTTTGTGGAGACGTGTGTTTTCGTTTCTCCTAGGCAAACACCTAGGGATGGAATGGCTAGATTATATAGTAGCTGTTTGTTTACCTTTATAAGAAACAACCAGAGAGGTCTCCAAAGTGGTTGTAAAAGTTTTATTCATTTTTATTGTATCATTTTTGAAACTTTGTACAGATATGACAGTGTTTTAAAAATATTTTCACCTGTCATGCTAATGGTAGCAACCCTGTGCAGTGGAAATAAATCTGAGTGAATTTTACATTCCATTTGAGGAAGGAGGCTTCAGAATGTGCCCTGGAAATGTTTACCTACATGAGATATGGCAAGTGCCTAATCTATTTATGTCTAGTAAGTACAGATGCTTATTTTAATAAATTTGGCAATACTAAATATATTTCCATGTATTCTCCCAATATAGGGCATCACATTTGATGAATTCAGGTCATTTTTCCAGTTTCTGAACAACTTAGAAGACTTTGCAATAGCCCTGAATATGTATAACTTTGCAAGTCGCTCTATAGGGCAAGGTAAGTAATCGTCTTTCAGTACTTAGAGGCAAAAAATAATGATCCTATCTTGTTTCTAGGAGCTTTGATAACAAATTAATAAAGTATTTCATATTAGCCATCAAGTCACCTGAAAGTGATATATACTTTGATGGGAAATCTGTTTTCCAGCAGAGTTTAGGGAAATATGCTAAATTTTTCCATTAAATTTATTATTGGCCTTCATTTCATCTTATAGAGAAGACTTAATGATGCTTGTAAAGATTCAAAGAGGAAGAAACCTCATGGCCGCTGGTAGCATTGAGGAGTGCGTGTGCACCTATGGAAGAGCCAACTGGCCACGCTCAAACGTCATCACAGGGTGATGTTTGTATTTCTAATCTTTTGCTCAGTCCCTGCTGATCAAGAAGCCTGAATTTTGCCAACAGAGCCCCCCCCCTTTGCTGTGGACTTACGTTAATCAAGTTTTAAGAATCACATATAAAATTGTATGTTGATTTTGCTTAATTTACAAAGAAATACACTGTCATAGAATTCAGAATGCTGTCGTCCTCAGGATCAGCTTCATTCTTTCCTTATAGACAAACTAACGAGTCTAGTCCGTTTTCTAAGATTCTGTAGCTGGGACCAGTTTCACTTCCCTAATGTGTCTTTTGTTTACTATTCTTGCCATATGAGGACTTGCCACTTACGTCTTTGAGGTAATTCTACCTGTGTCTGCCATAATCTAATAAGTGCTAATTCCCAAGTTTAAATCTCAGAGGACAGTCTTGTTTTTCTATTACCAAGTTCTGGGGAGAAGCCAAACTGTAGTCCCTAAATGCTCATAAATTCTCTCTCCCCCCAAAACATAGATACTGAATCCCTCACCTAGCTTCATTCATGTACTCGCTGAGTTAGAGAAACCTGAGAATTTGTCCTATTTCACCCTTGTCTAGTGCAGATGTTCAAAAAAGACATCTCAGCTCAACTACTTTTGTGTTTGAAAACCAAAACTTTGGGAGCCCTGCTTTCACAGACCGGCAGTTACTGCCATGATGAACCCCCTAGTCAACCTTGAGAGGAAAAAAAAGTCAGCATCTGCTTACCTGGTTCAGAATGGAAAGTTGCTCTTTTACTGTATGGAACTAGGAATGAAAGCAATCAAACGTGTGCCCTGGCAGGTGCTCGGAATCCGTCTCTCTTTGTTTACTGTTGCTGCTAGCACTTACTTTCAGGTGTTTACCTCTCAGAAGGACCATTGCGGTAGCCAACCCTGTGGTATTCCTGCCATTATCCACCTTCCTCTCTGATGTTTCCTAGACAGCTCACAGAGTGATCTCTCTAAGACGTGATCCCTTCTACGACACGCCTGCTGTGTAAACTCCTCCGTCCCACACTTGCCTGTTGAAGGCTGTCCAGGCTCCTCACCTCAGAGTCCCTGTGCAGAGCTGCTCCAGCTTCTGCGTGTCCCCTGGGCTCTGTCCGGACCAGACCACTTGTTGCCCTCCCTGCGTGCCCGAGACTCTGCTCTTTCCCCCCACGCCTGTGTTCATTCTTGTCCCCTCCTCTGCCATTTCCCTCATCTCCACAAGCAGAATTCATCCATCCCTCAGGGTTCAGCTCACATACAAACTGCAGCCTTTCCTAATCACTGCTCTTCTCTTTCCTTTCCTTACGACTCCACACTACAGACAGAAGTAGTCACTCATGTCCAAGTTCTCATACACTTTGTTAACATTTGTGTGGTCCTGTGTAATGGTTATTTGGACAGGTGTCTCGTCATTTGTCTGAACTGTAGGTTTCTTGGTAACTTATTCAGCTTAATTTCTAGTACGTCTATCACTGATAGTGGGTGTTCATTAAACATCATCAAATATGAATGCATTATTAACCCAAGATACAGCTACTGCTTGGCCTTTTTAATTCAAACCACATAAATTCTCTGTTCCCTAAAAGATAGCATGATTAATGAAAAGTCGTGTGCTACATAAAGTCATGACCCATGGTCAGAAAAACTTCTTTTATAACCTTTCTGGTAGTTAACGCATATTATAAAAATAATATTAACTGTTTCCTCCTTTTCTGTAACATTTATCCAGATGAATTTAAGCGTGCCGTCTATGTAGCTACTGGCCTCAAACTTTCACCACATTTAGTGAACACAGTCTTCAAGATTTTTGACGTTGACAAAGATGATCAATTAAGTTATAAAGAATTTATTGGAATTATGAAAGACAGACTCCATAGAGGATTCCGGGTAAAATAAATTTGAAGCCTATTGATATCCTTTTTAAAAACTGAAAGAAAAAACTCATCTCCGTTTCAGAAACAATTTATACAGATTTTTAAGGATAGAAACATGAAATGTCATATTTGAAAAGAAAATACATAAGGTCATACCTATTTTCAAAAACACTTTGAGATGATTAAAGTTAATGCTTTTTGAAAATATAAATCAGTTTGAATTTTAGTAACTTACTTTCATATCCAGTTAATACGTTCCTCTCCGTTTGTGGGGAGAAATGTCAAATATTTTTTGATTAATTCAGGCTGCACACAGGCACTTCAGACTTGGTACTAGACAAAGACATAGCATTTTGTACGATGCAGATTTCCACTAGGCAATTTGAGGCTCTTCGGTCACTGCATATTCAGTACTTTTTAAATGGAAAATACACTGAACACCTTTGTTTTGTCTGTTGAAATATTTTTTTCCTGTTAACATCTTCTACTGAAAATTACTAGAACTGTAGTGATTTTTTTTCTCAGAAACATGGTTTAAGTAATGAAATATAGCATGAATCAACAAGTGTTTGCACATTTAACATGTTTGTGGATGTGCCACAAACGGAAGGTAAAAAAAAAAAAATTTTTTTCTATTAACAGCCAGAATGTTCAATCTTCTGTCTTTGGTAAGAATACCCCTAAATGTTGTACATCTAAAAAGAGAAAAAGTTATATATAAAAAAATCGAGATTCATCTTAAACAATGTTTTTAAAGATTTTTAATGATTTTTTAAAATTGGTAAAGATACTGTGTACTTAACTGCCACCTAGTGGTGAGCTGTTAACACTTCCAACTGAGGTCACAAATACCTGAAAGGATATACACTGAAAATCATTTATTTTTCCTCAAAAATTTTAGAGTAGCAGAAGCAGATTAAAATATAAACTATGCTACAAATCTCTGATACTGTGTTTATCTCTTAAATGTTATATGTTTTTATTTTTGCTTTATTTATTTATTGCATACCTGTGGCCCCATAATATTTTATGTACATTTACATACTGGTAATCCTCTGTTCCGCAGGGTTATAAAACAGTTCAGAAGTATCCCACTTTCAAATCCTGTCTAAAGAAGGAACTTCACAGCAGATAAGTATGTAGCTTCCCTGTTTGTCTAAATTTGTTCAGAAACAAAGAATCATAATTTATTTTTCTATTATGACACTTAGGAAATAGCTGAAAGAAATAGACTTAGAACTTATTTTTGTATTTTAGCCCATTATTTCAGTTGAGGAATTACACTTCTAATGATTTTATTTTAGACCAGTAATTTAAGAATTAATCATTATGACAAAGCATGAATTTACAACTATTACACTGTGATCCAAAAAGGAACTAGAATAAATACTCATCTGACTGGAATTCTCTTGGATGTCTTGAATGAAAAATTTTCTGTTAAGCCTGCAATTTTGTATGTGAGCAGATACAGTATGAATCCAAATAGGATTTTTATGCTCTGGGACCATTAGCGTCTAAGGGAATATTAGTTAACTATTTTATAGGACCATGTCCAAACATCTGCTGTAATAATAGCAGCTGACTTTTTTAGAATTATTTTAGGCGTCTGGTCCTCTAATAGGTATTCTCGTACATGTAGTATCTCATTTAATCCTCATGGCTAGATACTCCATGTGACAGCAGAGAAAATAAAGACATAGTGAGTAATTTGCCCAAGATAACTTGCTGGTAAGTGGCCAGCTAGGATTTGAGCCTCATTCTGTCTCATGGCATAGCCGTGTTACTTACTGTTAACTAACCATCACCATCGAGTGCCGTAGTTGAGGAAGATGCCCGAGATTCGTTCCGTTTGTGTCGACCCAAAGAAGTAACTCCTATTTGTTGCTGATCTCCAGAATGAGAGGTTTACTTTTCCTTTTTTTCTTTTAAAAGTGTGCTATTGTAGCTACAAAATTTTGGTTTATTGTGATTTCTTATTAGTTAGGTCTCATCAGTAACAGTTTTGTTTGTTTATATACGCTTGTCAATATACATTCTCGCTGTTTCCCTCAAGCCTGAAACATTTGTATTTGTCTATAGCAATATTTCCCAAAGTGGTTCCATAGGATATCAATGCGTATTACTCTAAAAAAACAACAAAAATCTACTTAGTCAATCAATTAAGTTTGAGAAGTATCCTAATTAACATGATACAGTAGGTTTCTTCCCCCTTAGAACTTATCAGATCTTAATATGCCACTATTTATGTGTCTTTCCAAGAGAAAACCAAGTGTTCACCATTTTACAAAGCTTTCAAAGCTTTCTTTTTTTTTTTTTTTTTTTTTTTTTTTTTTATGGAACTCATTTGGGAAACTCATTTTGGCTCTAACATGTTCAATGGCAACTAGGCTTATTTATTTACGGTGGTAACTGTTGAGCTAGCAAAAGAAGTCAGGTCTCCCTCCTCTCTATTTTAAGGAAGTTTCCACTGCCTTAGAAACTCACTAACATGGGGCGCCTGGGTGGCGCAGTCGGTTGAGCGTCCGACTTCAGCCAGGTCACGATCTCGCGGTCCGTGAGTTCGAGCCCCGCGTCAGGCTCTGGGCTGACGGCTCGGAGCCTGGAGCCTGTTTCCGATTCTGTGTCTCCCTCTCTCTCTGCCCCTCCCCCGTTCATGCTCTGTCTCTCTCTGTCCCAAAAATAAATAAACGTTGAAAAAAAAAAAAAAAGAAACTTCACTAACATTAAAACAAAAAACAAGTAGGACCGTACCCTTTGTTCGTGTAGGTAGTGTTCCCCACCAACCCAAAATAGTCACGCTGACACTACTAATCCTGTGTAGTAAGTAGTACATGGAACCCTGGATAAAAATGACTATCTTTATTCTAGACCTTTCGGTTAGCCAAGTTACTTAGCAAAATACTGAAATTTTAAGTTAAAGGAAATATCTTATGTTAAGTCTTTGAATCTTATATTGTCGAGTGTTTTTATTATGTGCCTTACTGTTTCACATTATTATCGTAATAATAGTTGATTAATGTCATCACCTTTTGGTTTCATCGTAAATAAATATTGCTAATATTTTTTCTCATTAGGTACTTCTAAAGCAAAGTTTAAAGGATTATTATCTATATGATGATCCAAGAAGCAAAAATTTCAGAGTAAAAGCAGGTCTCAGATCACAGCATGTAGAAATGAAGGAAAAGAAGAAACACTAAATATAGTTTTTCTTGATTGACTTCTTGAACATAAGACAGATGATATGCATCTTCTCACTAACTGTAAATGTTATGTGTTATCAAGTTGAGCTTTTGCATTGATTTACTGAACTCTGTACTTTTTCATTCCTTTCAGAAGTATATAGATACTTCCAATGACTATGTAAGAATGTATTTTAAATACTTTTTATTTATTAGAAATTTACCTGATTTCAAAATAATATATGACTCCTGGAATCTAGATCACTTAAAAATTAATAGCAACAACATATTTTCTTTGGTTTTAGACTGTGAACTTATTTTCAGAAAAATGAGTATTACTTGAGATTTATCTTAGGCCCTTAGAATTGTTGATGAATCCCCATTATTACCAGGTTTTTAATTACATTAAAATAATTTTGAAAAACAAATAGAAATTAAGCTACTATATAAATATAATATGATGGTTTACAATGTACTTTTAACTTTTAAAAGTACTTTACATATACTGTGTGAATCATGTAAAAGTTTTTAAAAGTTTTCGTTTATTGGCCAAAGTCATCAGAATGTCTGATACTCTTTTATGTGTGCGGTAAAGCAATTTCAAATGCAGATTTTTTTTTCTCCAAAAAAGTCACATCTTCATGGTAGAAACCGTGGTGGCTACAGCAACTACTGTCCTTGTCGTGACCGCCTTTAGCACGCCGCTGCTCCTGACAGCAGATGGCATGTGTCGGCAACGCCAGTCACAGTGATGTCTTGCAGCCATGTGACTTGCTGTGCGGGAGTGTTGCACGGTGCGGATGTAAGATGTACACGAGTGATGTCTGTATTTGGTAGAAGTTAAGATTTTGTTTCTTGCAAAAGGACCACGTGCAAAAGCGATGTCAAACAGCTGGTCATAATGAATAACAAGTAAATTCTTTCAAAATGATATTTCAAATTCATTAAGTCAAAAGACTTAAAGAGAAAAGAAAAACTTTCTAGAGAGAAACAAAATTAGGTTTTCACATGGAGAAAATAATTTGATAGCATTTAATGGAAGTTTGTTCAGTTAGAACGTATAGTTTATAAAAGGATACTGTACAAAAATAGAACAACGAAGTTAATATACTTGTATATTGTATGTGGAAGGTAAGTTCATTTATCTTCTTTTCTAAGATGTATTTAATGTAAATTGCACACACTCCAGCTATCACCTTGCTTTTGCATATGAAAATAGGAAATACAGACTTTGTTTTTGTAAGTCATAAATGTGAAATTGGTAGTTCTGCATCCGCCTATTTATAAAAGTACTGTTATTTCCAAGAAAATGTTGTGATTAGCATTGGCTATGTATTTGTTAAACTTTGTACATTCTTTATCTGGCATTATTTATTACATTGATATAGAAATATATATGATTCATGGATTTGAAGATTCCATGCAGTATAATCATTTAATTTCACCTGCTTTGAAGGTTGACTCAGTTGATTGACTAAATGAAAATGCCAACCCACTCATTTAACATGTCCAAGGTCTATTCTACCTTACACTGAACGTTCTCAATAGTAATTATTTGCTATCCAAAATAATTGAAGACATGCAAGTTACTTTCATCTTTGACTAAAAGTTATATTATCTTGCACACATGGAGAAATTGCTATTTAGAACACTTCTGTCAGTATAGATTTAAAAATGAATTAGCTCATTAAAATTCTTTATAATTCTGTCACTCTCCCAAGGCACACTACATATGCAGGCTTTATTTTTTATCAGTATAAATGAATATTTATAAGGCTGCAACATAATATTAAAAAGGGAATAAATAAAATATTCTGATAAATTAAAATGAAAAAGTAATAAATTACAGTGATTATATATTATTACCCTTGAACTTTATCATCTATAAATTGGGAGGTAAAAATATGTCACTGGATTGTTGTTTACATCCATTAAAAATTTTTAATGCTTTAATAGTAACATATGAAATACATGTATGCCGTTATTCTCAGTATTTCCATCTACAAATTATTCTTTAGAAACATGAAACTATACATAAATTTTAGTATCGTACTCTACAGAAAGCCTACATGGTAAAAAGTTTATGCTGTTTTCTCGGTATCATTTCATATTAAGAAGTTCATTTAATTTATCCAGTTCATTGTTCTTATGATAAAATATAATTGTAAAGCAACCTGTTGTACATTTCTTATAGTATCTTAAAATAAATGTACCTGCCCTTGAATCAAGAAACTTAGTTTTTTGTTTGTACATATTAATCTGTGGATTAATGTCTTTCTTCAAACTTTGAAAATTTTTGTTGGTTACCAAACCAACATTGATCTTAGTCCCTCTGGTATGGTAATACATGCCAGTGAGATTAATCTTATCAACATTTTAATAGGTGTAAATAAATCACAGAGCCATAAAGCTTCTCAAAGTGTATAATAGGAATTCATACATTATAGAATTATAGTCATGGGTACTAAAAAGTTTTTCAGAAGGTTTTTCATGGTGACTTAATGGAGTATGAATTTTGCTTTACAGAACTGATTGTTTAAGTGGCTTAAAATCCTTAAGCCAACACTACAGCAGCCCCCGTTTTACCGATGTTGGCATTTTGTAGGCATTGTTTTACGAAGACAGCTCCTAGAGATTTACTAGTTTTCAAAATACACTCTACCTGATGTTGTATAGCCTATAATATGTTAACAGTTTTACATAGTGCTTTTACTTCCATAGATGTAAAAATATGAATTGTATAATATTCACAAAGTATAAAATAAAAATTGTAAGTGTTAAGAAAGCATTGTGGGGTTTTTTTTCTCTTAATTGGCAGCATTGTTACTTTTTAGTAGTTCATGAAATAATTGTGTGTCCTGCAATCAGTCACATCTTATATTCCGTGAAATACCATATGATGAACATCAGCACAAAGAATTCTCTTTATATCTTTGTGATTATCATTAGGTCGCGA